AAAAAAAAAAAAAGAAAGCCAAGAATCTACACCTCTACAACAAGGCTCATGGGAAGAAGCCTAAGAGTAAATAGAAAGATAGGCTCATATAAAGCCAAACTGAAGTGTATTTAGAATACCTTGATTTTCCTCAGATCTGTTGCACAAGATACCCAGGATGCAACGGATTTGTTTAATAAAAGGCCTCATGTGCCCTTGAGAACCAGAGTGTCCTAGCTTTCACATGTCTTTGTATATAAAAGAGGCTACATGTGAAATAAAAATCCAAATTATAATGGCTCTGAATGTTCACCTTCTAAATTATCGGTATATCAGCCCCCTTTTAAAATTTCTCTTCCTTCTCTACGATGAGGTAGTCCCCAGGAGAAGTCTTATCTCCCTTTTCTGCCTGAAATAACAAAATTCCTCAGTTTGATCCCTGGCTCTGCTTCAGATGTTCCATACCCTGCTGTTCTGGGACACTTGTGTCTCTCTACCCAAAGCATCTTCACCATTACTTTGGAGTTTTAGCAGGAAGGAGCATTGCCTTCTCTTCACCAGGATGTGACAAACACAGGTCCTTCCCATCAAATTTTCTCCACAATACACCTAAGCCCAGGCTATAACTCCTAAAAATATTCAGAAAGTAAGAATTGGGTGGCATCTGTAGCTCAGTGAGTAGGGTGCCGGCCCCATGTACTGAGGGTGGCGGGTTCAAACCCAGCCCCGGTTGAACTGTAACAACAACAAAAAAATAGCCAGGCATTGTGGCAGACGCCTGTAGTCCCTCAGGAGGCTGAGGCAAGAGAATCACCTAAGCTCAGGAGTTGGAGGTTGCTGTGAGCTGTGTGATGCCACGACACTCTAGCGAGGGCGATCAAATGAGACTCTGTCCCTACAAAAAAAAAAAAAAAGTAAGAATTATCCAGAGTACTGACAGGTATGATGTGGCTACTGTCAAAGTCCTCATGGACTAGATATAGGGCCTACCTTACTCTCAAGCTTTCAGCCTGGTCCCGCCTGGAAGACAGCTTCCCCTCCACAGCAGAAGTTCCCTTGACAATGTCTTGGGCATTTAGGCCCAATCGCCAAAGAAAACAACATTGCTCATCCAGGTGAGGGGCCACTTTTAAAGTCCCATTTTCTGTCCCAGGTGCTACATCTTCCTAGAATGACTGACTGTGGAAATATCTACTCTTTTAGAGGAAACCTCACCCTCTATGCCCAGAGCTATGACCTTCACCGCTGATCCAACAGTCCAACAGGACAATCACATCAGAATATAATAACCTAACATCAGCACATTTCTCACAAAGGTTGCGTTATTTAGTTTTCCATGTAGGTCAAGGTAGAGAGTCATCAAAGCTAGTCCGGTCCCTTTGCATAATTATTGCTCCAGTAAGCAGTAAGAATCATGCCTGTCCTTGCTTTCCTGTAATCATTAGGTCTCAGCTTCAAAGAGCAAGGGCTTATTCTTGTTCTCCAAAGAGCAAGGGCTCAAACAAGGACATTCATATCTCCACAGAAACAACAATATATTGACACATGCATGTGCTAAATCCACAGAGGAGATGAACAGTCTTTCTGTTCTCTTCTTTATCAATGTCTACAGAATCAGTACTTCAAGCTCCACACACAAAGATTTGCATGTCCAAATGGAGCATTCTGCTTCCCAGTCTAAAGCATCTACATTCAAATTAATAGTTACTTTATAGTTTTCTAAGAGTCATAGATTCATTCATTCTAAAATGAATGAACCATTCAGGTAGTTTTCCCAGTCTGAAGAAATATTCAAGTCTTCCTTTTTCTCAAATCAGAAAACCTGCATGCAAATTAAGAGGCAGTTTTTCTACCTTCTACCTACTCTTAGGATTTTTAATTTAGTCCTCATTACACTTAGAAGTGTTTTTTCACATGGAAATATAAGTATCTCCTGGGAGGGTGTATTTCAAATTACAAACATTCACTGAGGATTTACTATGTGTCAGGCACTGTGACAGCTCTCTAAAATACGTAAGACAAAGCCCAAATATGGGAAAGAAAATACACAAATCAAGAAGTTCGTTTTAAAAATTTCACAATCTAGGAGTGTTAGATGTATGTACAATTGGCTATAATACAATACATTAGCATGAATAAAATACTACAGGAGCACCGTTAAAGGTACAATTATTTAATCTTGGGAGAAGACAGTGAAGCCTTACAAAGAAATCATTTGAGTTGTGTACTGAAGAATAGAGTAGTAGCTTGATCACGAAGAAAGCAATAGAAGAGATGGATATGGGTTAGGGAGTGATATTTAAGTAGACAGCATGAGCAAAGACATAGAAGCATGGATGAGTACAGCATGTTCTAGAAACCCCAAGTACCCCTGGATGGATACCATGTGGGATGCCTTGGCCAGAAAGAGATGGACTAAGACCAGATTACATAGTACCTTCAGTGCCAGGCTTAGGAATTTGGACTCTGTCACATAGTCAGTTCAGGGGGGTTGTTTGTTTGTTATTGTTTTTTTTGCGGGGGGGGGAGGTTGAAACAGAATCTCTCTCTGTTGCCCTTTGTACAGTGCAGTGGCTGATCATATCTCACTGGAGCTTCAAACTCCTAAGTTCAAATAATACTCCTGGGTAGCTGGACTGTAGTATAGGTACATGGCTTCACACCCAGCTAATTTTTTCTCTTTTTGGTAGAGACAGGGTCTCACTCTTGCTCAGGCTGATCTCCAACTCTGAACCTCAAGGAATCCTCCTGCTTCAGCCTCCCAGAGTGCTAAGATTAGAGGCATAAGCTACTGTCACCTGCCCAGTCATTGGTAGTT